GAAATCCACCTTGTTTTCCATATCCTAAAGCTAATTGTATTACAATAAAACCTCCCACATATTTTTACCCTCTGAAAGAGTCGCTACAAGTTTTCATTTACATCATTACGTTCCTTTCACGCATGCTACACTAGTTTCTGATCTGAGAGGCGAGGTTCCTTCATGCGTTAGAAACCGTGGAATCAGCTCTGGCAGAAATTGTGCTTCTCTTGTATTCTAGGCTACAGATATATCTAATAAATTTTTCTTTCTAATCTTTGCAGTTCAGCACTCATGGAATGTGTGAAAACCTGTATGATGTGCGTCACAACACACTGGAGACCAACACAATCAAGGAATTGCAAATTACAAAGACCTTAAACCTGCACAACTGCATTGGAAAACCCCGCGTGTTTTCAAACGTACCAGGAGTGCGCTGTCTTAGCGAGGACTGCAGCGTCATTGATGAGGTATGCAGGCAAAGACTTAAAGAAATAAAAACATATCTTACCACGCCATGAAGGAAGCCTTTGAAATTGTTGATCCTTTCATGGCAGTTTGCAGGGCCCGTCTCATATTTGAACGTAGTTCAGAGCCTGCAGTCCTGGTTTCTCAGTAACATCTCTGCAGCTCATTGGGTGGGGCATTTGTCTGGCTGGTGTTCAAATTCCCAAAAAGAAAACAACAAAAAATGGAAACTGAAAAAGACTGAAAAGCAGATCAAAAACAGCAACAAAAAAACATCACAAACAGAAAAAAGAAACCAAACCAATTAAGAAAACAAAATCTGAACAAAAAGCAAAACATGATTTGGATGTGATGTTAAACAAGAATATAGCCAATCTTTCTTTTTAAACAAAAGAAATCCTCATGAAGATGCAGCTAACAAGTAAACAAAAAATATGAGAAGGCAATACAGAAAAACAAGCAGAAAACGAAGAGAAAAAGAAAAAAGCAAACAAAAACAAAAGATGAACGAGAAAAAAAATCCAAAACAAATAGTTATTTTTAATAATCATTGAATTCCATCACCCGCGTCTTCCTTTCTTTTCAGCCCCTACAGATCTCTGTGTCAGCATCATGTGATCTTTTCGGAACCGAGGAACAATTTGTGGTGAAGGATTGTAGAACGATGGGAAGATACATTTTTGCACCAACACAGATGAAAGGAAATGCCAGAACTTTGACCAAGTATGTAGATGTGAAAAGGAATAATTTTAAAAAGGACTCTTAACTTGGCTTATAGTTTACACTTTCCTCTTTCTTGAAGATGTGAATCTTCTGCGACAAAAATAAATAAAAACTGTCTGCTGCATTTCTAAAGTATTCAAAATCGCCTTCCAAAAAAAATATTGAGATAAAACAGGCACTGGAGTACGACGTCTACTAACAATTTATTCAAAGTAAAAAAAGAAAAAGTTTCCTTTTTTAAGAAAGTGAGGTTGTAAACTCCATCAGTAATAAGCTACGAACTTATGAAGTACTGCCCGGAAGCCATAACCGAAATTAAACAAGAAGTTTCAGAGCTTCGCGACGCTTGTTTTAGATGTAATCCCTTGATGAGTGGACAGAACAGGAACGAAGTAATTGGTACCTTATTTGTAAAAATTGCAGAAAGAGTTTGAAATTTTCTCGTTTTCACCAACAATCTTTACTTGCAGGCAATACCTGAAATTCAAGGAAGTGAGGTCTGAATCCCAAAGCTGTAAGTATTCGATAAAATACAGTTCTGAAATTTGGAAAAAGAGAAAACTGAATTATTTACTTTTTATTTTACAGATACCGTTAGTGGTGTTACCGCTAGGACATTGGAAATGACTGTGGATGAGGGGGAGGACAAACCAGAGACTGAGGAACAACGTACCCAGACTGCAAACATGGTTAGTTCTAAGCGTTTCCAATGTTTGCTAAGCCAACAGGACAAGAAATCTGAGAGAAATTTTCAATTTAGGTGTCAAAAATGGCGCACTATGATTGATGTAGAAAACTCGAGTACAGGATGTCAGCGGTAGTTCACTACGTATGACATCACAACCATGTTCACTTGTTTTGGGAGGCAATACATCATCACCAAAACCTGCTCTGACAACAAAGTTTAAAAACTTAGTTGAACATAAGCGGTTCCAAAGAAAATAAAATTTTTCAAGAAATCCTTTACCCTTTACAGCCTAACGTCAGTCTGTATATTCTCCATACTGTTCTCTGTACATTTCCTAAGGTGTTGACAAGGAGAATTTGTTTAACAATCAAAAGCTTCTTTATTTGATAATCCTTTCCTTTATTCTTGTAGCCTTAATGTATGATTCAGGGGTTATATTGTTAGGAGAAAGTAGAAGCCAACACTTTTAAAGGGCCACAGGGTCTATAAAAGTTAGTTTTCGTTACTTCTTAAAAAACAGAAGAACTGATTTATTTTGGTTTTTTTTTCTTTTGTTTTTTTTTTTGCCGCATAATCACGAAGGTGAGAAAATTGATTGACGACCTGATCAAGAGCGTGGAGGAGAATAACTTGATGTCTTGGCAGTTTAGTCGTTTGGTGGAAACCTTACGCAGGACCTGCAAAAAAACTCTTATCAAGATCTGGGACAACTGCTACAATGACGAGAAACGCAGGTTTGTCCAGAGAAATCTCGAATGTGATCTTTTAGCATGGTTTTTTATTTGTCATCCGATGGTGCAACTTTTTAAAAAATTTTTATGATTACATATGTAATGTAGGTATCAGTTATGGGATAAATGATTGTTGGACTTATTGATTGCTAACTTTACGGACTGACTGTTCAGTGAATGACAAATAGACAGAAGAACAAATGGACTGACAGACTGACTGAAAAGCCGACTACATAAATGACTAGACTGATCGAGAAGGTGATTGACTGACACGCTGACAGACTGATTAACTGACTGACTAAATGACTGGGTGACTGACTGACTGACTGATTAATTGACTGACTGACTAACTTACAAACAAACGGACTGTGTGATTGACTGAGTTAATGACTGATTGTATAACTGATGGACTGACCGGCTGAATGACAGACTAACCAACTGACTGTGTGATTGACGGACTGAGTAGCTGGCTAACTTACTGACTAACTGACTGACCAGCAGATTGACTGAATTAATGACCGCCTGGTTGGCTAACTGACTTACTGACTAGCTGACTTACAGACTGAATTTGAATGAATGACTCATTGTCGGATTGAAACGTTGCAACGTCTAAGATAGGCGTTAAACATCTTTCCATTTGCTTTCCCGTTTCGGATTGTAGGCAATGGCTGCTGGAAGCTCTGCCTTATGTGTACAAGGAGGAGGTCTTTGAACTCATCTCAGAGAAAATCAAGACATTGGAACTGGACTCTGGAAGGGCGGTCTCACTTATTCGTGGTCTAGCCTTAACTCCAAACCCAACAAAAAAGATGTGCTTGACCGTTGTGGTAAGAAAAAAGGCTTACGCTCTTGCTGTTTGTGCCACGAAATACAAGACTAATTAAATAATAAAAAATGGTATAAGTAAACTAGAATTCAGCTTGCTGTCATAACTCTTCCACGGAGCACGGTTTTACCCATTGAAAATTGGAATCTGGAAAGTTAAATTTTGGGGAGTAAAGAAATCCGAGTACCCGAAGAAAAAAAACCCTCATAGCGGAACGAGACCCACCAAAAAACTCGGCTTCAGTGTCACTCCGGAATCGAACCCAGGCCACAGGGAAGTGAAGCGAACGCTCCCACTGCCTGCCTCCCTGGTCCCCTCACTCCCTCTCTCTAAAGAAAACTTAAACGCTTTTTTCATCTTTCTTTTTCTTTTTGAAGGATCTCTGTTCTGGTTCTGTTGTCCAAGCAGACGAGACTCTGAAGAAAACCTGTTACCTTACTGCCGGTGCCTTGATGCATGACTTCTGCAAAGACAAGGACGCCACTTGCCTTACCAACGAAGTGGCTGTAAGTTTCCTTTTGATGTGATGATAACTTGTTTCTGAGTGGTTGATCGTTGCGCGCGCCAGTCTTCAAATCCTCGAAACGACCTTGGTATGGATGTCTGGAATGCTTTGTCATCGTTGTGGAATGTCCTTGGTCACTCAGAAAGATTCATGAATGGTTTTTGATTGGATGATTATTGCGCGCGAGAGTTCAAGTCCCCTTTTCAACCAACCAATCAGAAAGGGCGTAGACGTCATCTGTAAGGAATTTCTGGTGCCCGACCTTAAACATAGAAACATTAAAGATAATATTTCGATAAAGTAATTGAGTTTGAATCAAGTAAGCAATTTTTTGTAATTTCAGGAGATTAAGAGTCGTTTGCAGTACGCCAGTTACCGTGAAAAGATCTTCATCTTGAAGGGCATCGGTAATTTCGGTCACAGAGATTTTTACCAACCTCTTTTGGAAATTATCAAGGACAACAGGAACTCTCTGGAATTACGCGTCACAGCTGTGTATGCTCTACGAAGAATCGCTCCGAAAATTTCACAAAAGGTAATTCACCCAATCCCCCACCCTTCCCCCCTGAAAAATTAAAATTCAGGTGATGCATTATTGATATATTTGTTACCGCTCGCCTCCTTCCCATTCTCCCGAGCTGTATTGAGGCTCGAGAAATAAGGTCCCTTGAAATAATCGCTAGCATTTACTAAGACCCACAGGAAATCTAAAAATCAATAAATTATGTGTTGCGAGTTTTGCTGTAGTCGATCATTCAGGTATTTAGTCAGCCAGTCCTTCAGTGATGCAGTCAGTCTGTCATATATATTCAGTCAATGTGTCATATAACGAGTCATTCTGTCGGTCAGTTGATCAATCCGTGAATTAGACAGCGATGGTACTTTATCATTTTCCGACAAAATATTAAACAAAAACGTCAGGAAAATACCTTTTCACTAACTGCGTTAAGAAGCGCAACTTGTATCGGTTGACGAGAACTGCGAACCCTCTTGGTTTATTGAAATCTCACCCTCCCCTCCCAAGGTATTGCCAGTGTTGCTAGAGATCTTCCGTCAACCAAACAACGACGCCGAACTGCGCATGGCTTGTTTTGTGATCATCTGCGACTGCAAACCTGGTCCAGCGGTGTTCAACTTGGTAGTCAAGCAGCTCTATTACGAGCGCACCAATCAAGTGCGATCTTTTGTCGTGTCTTACATCAAGGGGATGGCTTTCTCTAGATACCCATGTGACGAAAAAATGTAAGTTACAATAACATAAATTCAATCATATGACACGTGTTATTGGTAAGAGAACACTAATTGACGAGGTCTGGGCTCAGGATGTTAAGAAAATCTCGCAAATAAGGTAAACTGCCGACACAAGTGGTTTGTCGCTAGATTTGTTTTTACGCTCAAGAGACCTGATTTTCCCGTTTCATAGACAATCATCGTGTTCGTCCAATTGTAACGTTCCTTTTTTCAGAAACCTAACCAATTAGAGTGTAATTCCAAAACTCTGGCAAACTGTTCGTGATGAACATGGAAATCTTTTTGCGCAAGCATTTTAATATAAACCTAAACCAGCACACAATTAAGATAAAGGTAAATTTCATGACGAAAAAGAGGGACATCTAAGTAAAAATGTAAAAACACAGACTCGAAGTGCGGCGAAACAAGAGCGACTTGTCACTTGTCAAAATTGGTTTTGTCTTAACATCTCATCGATTGAGAGGGTGGGGAAAGGCAAAGCCCTAGTTAATTGCCATGGTTAAGGAATGGAGATCGCCTTTAGTAAAATAACAGGAAAAGAACGCTGCGTTCAGCTTGGCAGTTGTTTGTGTAGGCAAAGAGTGACAGTTTTATCCAAAAGGAATTCCTCATGCTAAGCGCGCGACATTTCAACGTTTAAAGTTGTCTTGGAAGGAGCTCAGTCTATGATCGATCTCCATTTACCATCTGTATCCTCAAACCTGGTCAAGAAGCGATTTTTTTTAATCTTTGATAAAAGGCGCTGTTTAGCTGACAAAGGCTTACATTCAAAGTCATGGCTAGTTATTTTGTCTTATTTCAGGGCTCAAACCGCACGAATCGCTCTCCGAATCGCCCTTCGAGCGCTTAAGAGATACAAGATAAACCCAGTGAACTCCAAATGGCTCCACTTTGGCGACTTCTCCGGTTAGTACAGTAAAAATTATTTCACCATATGGCCGAAAAGTTAATGTTTTTATTAACACACTCCATGGTGTAGGTCTCCTTAGCAAACGGAAACAAAACATAAAAACACGGAGGGAAAACAAGGTCAGAAACTGCATAAAAGCGTAGAGAGGGGAGGGGGACGTTACACCAATGACTTTTTTGATTATTGCGCATACACTAATATTGTTAAACCCAAGGGGGCGTTCATACAGTCTTGCACACACCCCCCCCTCTTTTTTTAACTATGCACAAACACATCTTTTGATTCCCTTGTTCATTTTCTTTCTTTAAGATCTTCTCCAGATGGGAAGTTCAGTTGATCTTCGCATGATTTCCACGCCATCAAGCTTCATCCCGAGAGCTATCAACTCTAAAGTCAAACTACACACCGGTATGCTTGGAAAATCTCTGAATCTGTTCGAGGTGAGTTAAAGGATGAAAATCTTGCTTTGCTGGTGAAAGAAGACTTAAAATAGACCTTTCTTTAACATAATCTGTTTGAGGTGCGTGAAATGATCGCTAGAAATGTTGCTTTGCTGGTGATAGAGGACTAGCAACATGTTCCTTTAAAAAAAAAGGAAAAAAGGAAAAAAGGAAAAGAGGAAAACAAAAAGAAGGAAACGCGAAAGACTGAACAAATTGAACGATTGCCAGGACCCCTGATTAGCAGATAAAGCCACTTCGAAGTTGTATTTGGTGTCCCTCTCTTGTTTTTAGTCTGGGCACTGAATTGAATCCAGTTTCGTGAAATGCAGGTCACGTTGTCTGATTTCCTTGGATTGATTCGAATCGATTAAAGAAGAGACGTTAAGGTTTGAACCTTCATGAACAAGTTGCAGTCATGGGGTAAAAGAATTTTGTTCCCTTCTAGACTGGCATCCGTGGTGAGGGAATCCAAGAGCTGCTCCAACGTGTCATGGGACCAAGGGGACACTACAGCGAAGATAAGAGTCTGTTTGGCTCGCTCAGACCGAAACGAAGCTTAGACAAGAGTCTGAATGAGAAAGAAATCAAGGAAATCCAATACCAGGTTGGTGAACCAGGTTATCCAGGATTAAATCATAATGATACAGTGACTAAAGTCAACTAAAGGGTATATACAACCCAACTAAAGAGAAAATTTACTCACTTAACATAGGTCCTTACCCTGAGTTGCGGCTTAAAGTCTGAGATCCATATGAATGATACACTGTCATACTCAGGGAAGCCAACCAAAGCTCGGGATATCGCTTAAGGATTACCCTAAGCCTGACCGTAAACCACATTTCAAAATACCGGGGTAGAATTAAAATTTATATGGATATGCTGATATAATTCTAGGGTCCAACATGGCAACCTAACTCCAAAATATCCAAGCTAAAATTACATTACACAGACACAAGGACATACCAGAGAAAAGGAATACGATCTAGATATCTATGGCAAAGTCTATGCCTGAGATAGTAGCCTAGGCTCAATATTCCGAGGCGAGTTGTGCACAGCTATATCATGAGCTGTTTTTCTATCAAACAGCTGCCAACCGCTGAACATGAAGAGGAGAAAGCCAAAGGTTCCTTCTACTTCAAAGTTTTTGGAAAAGAACTGTTCTATAATTATTTCACCTATGATGACATCAAAGAGTTAATCGAAGATGGAGTCATCAGAGTTAGCAACGATCTAAAGGACCTGCTGAAGAAAGGTTGGGAAAAAAATGAATCGAGTGAAAGATAAATTTCTTTTTTTTTTAATCCAAAGTGGGAAGAACTTTTCGATGACAATTTGTCAATGTTTTCCATCTACATGGAAAAAGCACATGTAGCGTGACGTTCGCTGGTATAAATGAGGCTTCCATGTCAGTTCAAATGGCTAATTTTTTTTATTTTTTCAAAGGTAAAAAATGGAATATGTCCAAAATCCTCCGTCCAATTGAAGTGAAGATACGCCAGCCCTCGTGTGCCGGTCTGCCCCTGGATTTCTCTGTGGACAGCGTTTTGTTCCTGCGTTTGAACACCACGGTCAAAGCTGAGGTTCAACCCCGATTCTTCATTCCTCTTCCCGATCAAGTCACTCTTAGTGGAAAATTGAACGTTAGGTATGGAAATAAGAACCCAGAGCGTTAATTTCGATGCTGAACTGAAAAAGTTGTTTTAGATAATTGATTTTTATGAGCCATCGCTCTGCTCATCGATATTTTGTTTTGTCTTTTTTCGCGTGCTGTTTTTCCTAGTGTTCTTCATTCTTTGTGGGGAAAAATGAAAGTATCTCTGCCTCAGTTGGAGACTGGTAGTAAGCTAACGATCCACACCAATATCACCACTGGATTAGGTGGCAAATTCCAGTGCAACCTCAGAAATCAAAGCTACACCACAGAAATGGACTTGCCGCAAGAGAGACAGGAGATTTTATCAACTAGGTAAGTGATTTATAAGCCTTTTATGGACAGATACCAAGAGATTAAAAAAAGGTTTATAATCTCTTGCACTTACTTAGAACCTTTTCTCGAAAATGGTATATTCCTTTTCCCCCCAACCCCCCCCCCCCTTTTTATTTTTTCGCACAACTGAATCGTTAGGAGGGAAGATTGATGAAACTCAAGTTCAGGGATAAGATTGTTGTTGTTTATACCTGCTGCTGTCACCGCTTAGCCGAAAGTTGCTTTCTATTACATCTAGAGATTCAAGTTTACCGTATGGCAAGTGCTTTGGGTTAAACTAGGTTCTGTGTGCCTCTATATTTCTGAGTCCCACCACCCATTTTAAAGCGCTTTCAATCAAGACGGAGTCGAATTTAATTTAATCACCAGATGTACCTTAATTGAATACCTTTGCAAAATGCAAAGACATCCCCTAATCTTCAACTTGTTTCAACTTTCCTTCCAAATCTTTCAGAATTGTCTTGATAATAAATTCCATTTTGTTATTTCTTCTCATTTTTCAATCCTACGGATTTTAAATGGTGTCCTGTTATTAAGGATATCAATTTTGTTTCTCGTTGTCAGGAAAAAACTTTCACCTTAATCATTGTTTTTGGTTACAGCAAGGCGAGCAACACTTGGCTGATGTACAGGAAACCTGTCACAGGTTCCAAGAATTGGTCTTCAATCTACAGGAGCACAGAGCTGGACGGATTTGAGATCGGAGAAGTTACTGAGGTATGCAACTGAGGGCAGTGTATGTCGCTCTAAAAAATGTGATATGAAATAAAATAAAAAATCTGACCCTCCTCACATTTGGATCCTTTTAACCTCCAGTGTTGGCCAAAAGGTCTTGAGACCTTTTCTTCTAGCTACCTCGGGAACGTTACTAAATGGTTCTGGTATTGCTCTTGTAACAATCTTCAAATATGCCATACAAACGGTACCCCTTCCTAGAAAAATGATAACAGCGACTGAGAAGATTAAAAAGCTGAAAATTAACATTTTAGTGGACAAACGAATGAATAGTTGAGATAATGCGTCTATAGAACGTTACATTTAGCTTTCCTTACTGGTGTCCTTAATATTTATGCTAAGATTTTACCTCTAAGTGTTTGTGTCAAGATCTCAAAAAATGGTTGGCGGCGATGTGGTGGAGAAGGGAACGGGGGTACTGGCTCGCAGCGCTTTTTTAGACGTCCCTTTCGGTTTTTTAGGGTTTTATGCAACTATGTTACTTTCTGTGTAGCTTTCCAACTGTGAATTTCTTTGAAACAAAAAGGTTTGGTACAGGAGAGGTAAAGAATGTTATTTGTGTGTAGCTTTCCAACTGTTGACTGTTTTTCTTTAAAACACAAAAGATTGCCAGGGGACATCATCATCATCGTTATGCCAACTGGACTCTGAAGGCAGGCAATGGAAAATACCTGTCTGTGAATGAGCACAATGAACTCGTCTTAAGCGAGCTACCTACTGTCTTCAAAGTCTTCTTTATCGACGGAAATCATCAACTTGTGAAACTTTTTGTCACCGGAAAGGGATTCGTTAAGGTATTTTTAAAACTCATAATTTATTGCAAACAAACAAGCAATTTAATTCCTTAGCTACGTTAGCGGGTCCGATGTTCTCCAAGTTTATATTGCTTTACATCTCGTCACGCACGTTGCGTGCAGTCACGTTGCCTATTAATGGATTTGATTAAACCGCGCAGCACTGCGTTCATGCCTGGTCATGTTGCATTATGTATTTATAATAGACAATCATGTTAAGTGCCTCTGGTGTTAGTTAATTTCTATTTGCGTTACCTTGTGGTGGATTGCGTTACGACACGTCACGCGGTGTGACACTTCGTGTTGCTGCACCAGGCTGCTTGAATCGAGTTCATAAATAGAGCCTATGCGTTGACATGCATAGCTGGACTGCATAACTATAACACCTCTATCAACACATTGCTATCTTCAATGAAAAGAAAAACCCTAAGTATATCGTGCAATTTTTTTTATTAGGTGAGGCCAAATTCCCAAGGGTGTTTAGAGACTGTGCATGATAATCGCTACCCCAAGCTCTTCAAGATCACATTCGTGAATGGTCGCCGTCATGTTCGCCTCGCGACAGTTGTGTATATTCACAAAGATGCATCCAAGAACCCTGTGGAATGGACCCGCGCAACCGTCCCTATGAACACGGATCAAGTCACGTTATTCCAACACATGATCGAAGATATTGAGCCACAGAAGGGATATGAGGAGAAATGGCGCTATATCAGTGACTTGCCCTTGAATTCGCCTTCGCATAATGCTGAGAAGAGTGACGGACTGCATCCGCGTCATATGAAAATCGTCTTTGTTACACCTATGGGAAGCAAGCTTTGTTTGAGGCCGAGCCAAACCAAGGAATCTGTGCTCTCTGTAAAGAGGCATCACACAAACTCGAGCGTAAGCGTCATAGGAAATGTTTATACTCCATTTTTCCAAACCGCCTTAGACAAAAGCTGATATCAAGTGGGAATGTTTGCGGCATCTCGCTCCTTTCTTGTGTAACATTTAGCACTGTTTTAAATAAGAAAGAGCAGCTAGTTTTCATTTTTATATGCCTGATAGGATAACTTTTTTGAATAGAACACCCCTGTAAAAAACTATAGCTAAAAGTATCCCGCGGCGATATGAACAAATTCAAAAGAGACTTCATTTGACTCAGAAAATAGGAACAACAGCAGCATTCGTTTAAAGCAAGTAAGTGTCTGAATTTTTTTTACATGTTCCCGCAGGAACTGTGCTATGGCAAACAAATGCTTGGTTTTGATGTGTGCTTGAGTGGTAGATACATAATGCCACACATTCCCCACCCTCCCGCTTTCCCGTTCAGCGGTCCAGCCAGGCTCAACATCTTCGTTCAACCAAGCAGAGATCCAGCTCAGAAAATCCAGCTTAAGGTAGCAAAAGATCATCATTAACAACATTGTCTTTTTAACCTTATGTTATAAATTTGGTCGAACTGTTAGTTTAAGTGATTAATTTTCATCACCCTTCATCAATCTTTTTAATTGAAAATTACTTTCAATGCATCTTTTTACATTTACGAAATACTGTTTTGTGTAGAGACATCACGTGACAACCAAACTTACTCGGCCTTATGAGTTTCCTATTTTCTTTGGTTTGGGGCTCCGCTTTTGGTAGAGTAATGGTGCAATGCAAGGTCCACTTGGGTTTTCAAAATGAATGTCACTCTAACCATCATTAATTGCCTTTAGTTTTACCGTCCTTGGAGTGATCACGTCTTCCCAATCATAAACCGTCTATGGGGCGTTGTGACGAACGTTTATGTCTGTTAAGCATCATTTAAAAAAATCCGCTGTCCAGAAATTTTGCAAAGATTTATAAGTAACTCCTCTGTAGGTTCGAAGCGACCTCATTCTTTTGATAATTTGAAGAGGCTCTTAAATTATGATACGTACAGATATTTTTGGAGCAGTAATTGGGCGCTTTTTATACTTCATTTTCAAGAAAGAAAACAAAAAGAAAAAAAATTTAAATTGATTTCTCCGCTCACTGATCTCATATTTGACTTAATTTATTGTAGTTTGGCAAAGGAGACAGATTCAATGAACACCTAAAGACATGGAAGGCCGGAATTTACCTTCAAGGCACAAACCCTGAGAAAAAAATTGAGGCTGACGTCAGTTATGACGTCGACAATCAGAGGACTGACGTCACCGTCGATATCCATAACATGTACCCATGGCTGAGGAAAGTTTGCATTGTCAACCAAGTGACCAGTAATGATGAAGTGGAGTTTGACTTGAGATTTGGTGAAAATTGCCTCAATGATTATGAAGTGCAGGTAAGCATGGGTGTAGGGTGGGGTGAGGATGAAAAGTTGCTGTGATGCAAGAGAATACTAGGTGATATTCCCTCGCTGTGATTGCGCATGCGTGTCGGTTGGGGCCGCAGGTGGAAAATAGCCGTGCTAAGCACTCAACTGAAAATTACTACCCACTCAGCATTAAATATTTCACAGGAAAACGACTTCTGACGAAGCGTTATTTCTTATGACGAGTTTTTTTTTTTTGGAACCAATTTTTCTTTTATTATTTTGAACATTTCAAGTCCGTAAAATCAAGAGGACTGGTCATCATTTGTCGGAGGGAGGGGAGGGGGAAAAGAGTTTGGAGAACATTGGCTGTGTCACGATAGAATTGACCTGATCCCCCCCTCCCCCCCACCCAGGCTCCGTATGACCCCCCTTCCCTTCATTGATAGTAAATTGACTGATACCCTCTCCGCTCCTCCTAAAACCCATGTGATCCCCCCCAAAATCCTCCACACTCCGTCCCCCCTCTCCAAGGGGACAAAGAAGGACTGATTCCTGAGGCACTGGATACTTATCGATATACTTTTGCAACATCACCCCAACCTTTCGCATAAACGATCGCCAAATTTATAAATTTCGTAATGATAATTTCTCGTTAGACCCGTATCTCCATCAAAGAACCAAGCCGCAGACAACTGAACATCGTGACTTCTTACAACAAACTGCCAGAACCAGTGCTAATGATGTGCTACAAACTTCTGAAAAAGTTTTCTCAGCGCTATTATCACAGGTAAGGGTGGTTTAATTTTCTGTCTATGGCTTTCCCTATTTGAGTTACGGAGAAAACTACCCTCTATATTTTAGGTGATTCCTCGAGAAAAAAAATTTTTATCAAACATTTCATTTTAAAACTTTCCTCAAATATTTCCTACCAATGTCTGCTGCGAAAAATTTAATTAAAAAGATAGGTCACCGTACTTTTTAAAGAGATGTGATGAATTAAACTTACCCCATTCATGTCTGTGCCGGCGCTAATCACGCGCGTCTTTCATCGGTTCACGGTACACTTTAAATTAGCGGGAGCAACGTTTTTTAGAGAAAGACTTGCAAAAAAAACTTGATAGGTATATGATTTGTGGAAAAATCACGCAATTTTAAACGTCATCGACCCAAAACGTCCTTTTTGTCAGCATAACGGCAGAAATGATGCTATATCGCGGGGCATTAGTCTATCCTTTGTATCGGTATCTCGCTGAAATAATGACTGAGATCCCTTTCACATTTGAATCGTTTTGGTTGGAAGAGGATTTATTATGAAACGACACTGAAAGAGCATTGAGAAGTTCACTGGTAACGCTTTCTGTTTCCTTTCAGGCTCAGCGATTGGGAATTTGCTAGGAACGAGCCGAACAAAGTCGAATTTGTTGTGAAATTTAAAACTGACCAACTCGTTGATCTTCAACTCAACACACCTTCTCATGTGATGACAATGGAAGACGTCGAGTTCAAGAGCCAAGGTTTTCTTCCTCGGGGATCCAATTACTACAACACATTTATGCATGTGTCTACACGTGAGTGGAGTTATAAAGAATATATTCATATTAATGAAAACTTTGAAAAAATTAACGGAGACTGTTCCTACAGTGGTGGTTTCCTTTCATGCCATGTAACCTGGAACAAGCCATCACTTGGATCATATGCATGACTCACATTTTGTTCATTTTCAGCGGTTTGCACCGTGGAGCAGGACACTTTGAAAACCTTTGATGACGTCGAGATCCAACATACGTTACCAGACAGGTGCATGCACGTGCTGGCCAAAGACTGCACAAAGAACACCTCCTTCATAGTACTCATGTCCAAAGACACTCGACATCCTGATAAGAAGATCATTGAAATATTAGTGGAGCAGGAAAAGATACGAATAGCACATTTGGGAAGCGCAGGATATCAGATTCAGGTACGCATTTATATTTTCTCTAATTTCTTTTGGTTTCCTTATTTTTGCCTCATTTTTTTCCAGACATCCTTTCTTCGACTCTTCTGCACCTTTACCCTCGATCTTAATTCATATCGACTGTCACCAATTTTCCCGGTTTTCATCAACCATCGGCACTCCACCATCGACTTATCATGCCGACTAAAGAATTCCATCACGAACAGAACGACCTTACTTTAGTAGCTGATCAAAACTAGCCAATCCCTTATGACTTAGTTTACGTGATTCTTACAGTCGGTTCCATCCTGGCAATGCGGCCAATCTGTTTTCACGAATCAGAATTATAACACTTCACTGAGAAGCAACTTCTCAAAACCTCGGTGACTGTTATCAACAGCCGCTATCTTCAGAGTCACCCTTACATGGACGATCAGACCACACAATCAGCCATATATTTTTCGTCAATCTGATTCCTTTTGCAATTCGTTTTGATCTGCAGGTCAACGGAAAAATCCAACTAAATCGGCCGATCCGCCACAAGAACATCGCCACCATAATCGAAGAACCAGCAAGCGACAAACTTCATGTTTTGTGCGATATTGGTCTTCAAGTAGAGATCGTGCGTGGAAGCAAAGTATGTGCTAAATTAACATGCTAAAGCAGCTGCGCGAAGAAACCTGAACACTGCCTTTCTTGTAGCGTGAGAGAATGAAGCGCCTGCTGCGCGCGTCTTCCCCACGTCTTCTCCCCAGACTTTCATGCGCGAAATCACGTGGGAATTTGTGTGAGCGATATATACACGCCCCCTCACGCCTGATGAAGGCTATGAAATCGTGCTTCACGCGTAATATAGTACAGGCGCGTTTTAGATCGTTCGAGATTAGACACATGCCATTTTATTCATACGCCAAATAAAACGCGCACATCTGTTTTCCTCGAGCGCTAGAGAGTAGAAGCGCGCATCTTTCCTCACGAGTTGACGTGCATCTTTTTTCCTGTGCGAGGTCAGTCACTCGCAGTTCACTTCATGCACGAGACACGCGCAATTTCCAGCACACGTGAGTTGAGATGCGTTTTATACCCTGCTAAGTGTTAAATTTTACTCAATTTTCTTCCTGATTTTCTTCCGAACAGATTAATATCCGTGTATCGCGATACTATTTCGACCGTACTTGTGGCATGTGTGGTGACTGTAATGCAGAACAGTTCCGTGACCTGAAAACCCCACAAGGCAAAGTATTCACCGACTCTGATAATCTGATGTATGGTCGTATGTGGATGGTGACCATGGATACTTGCAAAGGTATGTACACAAACAACATCTTACAGTCTCTGTGTGTATTGGGTGCGGCTCGTTCTAAACCTCTACGTTGACAGTAGCGAAAGAATAGGAAAAAAGATATATAACTTCAAAAACGCACGGAAATACGGAGAAATACAAACGAGGGCAGCTTTCTCCCTTCGTTAGAAGCTATAGACATGAGGGCCGAAAAGAAGGGGAAATGAACGTCTGCGGGTATTTAACTACAATCTGCGCTTTTTTTCGCAGCTGGATGTAACCTCAAGAAAGAGTACCTCAAGGTTGACAGAACCATCAACGGTGAGAGCCACGATTGCTACCCTACTAGCCCAGTCCTCCGCTGTCATAATGGTTGCCAGGCTACCAAAACCAGGATGACATCATTCCCTATGACTTGCGTGGAGACTGGAACTAAGGAATCACAGAAAATATCGGCTAACTTGGGAAAACCCAGTTTCGATTTGACCGGAAGTGTCGTGTACTTCAGGGAAAATCTGGAAGAGGAAACAGAGTGCAACTGCAGTAGCTGTCAGTAGTGAGCACCCATTCTCAAGGGAATTTGACCAAGTTACCAGGAAGTGAAACGGACCGTTACTAAGGACTGATTTTAAGGCTATCGCACATTTAATTTTTTTTATTGATTACTAGGAAAGAAATTGCTCAATAACCTCGTGAGATTAAAACATTAAAAAGTTTTGTTGCATTTTTTCCCCTTCAAATGGCAGTTCTTTATATCAGTTTTAAATAGTTGCAGCAATGTTTCTCTTTTATAAAGAGTAAACAGACATTAAGAGAATTATGTATTTGATAACACTTGAGTTGTAGATTTATTTTGCGCTCTTCGTAACTTACATTTCTGTTCAAGTGTTAGTTTCTCTCTATCTCTGTTTTTTTCGTTATGTTTTTGGGTTTTTTGTTGTTGCAAGTTTTAAAGTATACCAATAAGCAATCAATAGGGTGCCGATAATAAATAAAATAAAACATGAATTCGTCTGCTTTTTTTCATGATAAATTCTAATGAGGGTAGGAATTCTTCCTTTGCCAGCCTCGTGGCGAAACGTGTGGAAAAACAAGAATGAAACTTTCAAAAGGCACAGCTCCTGAGTGGGCAAAGAAAATCCCTTGTGAGTATCAAAAAAGAATTTTGTTAATTATCAAACTCAAAAGCTCATTGACGAATTTCTGTTGTTTCGCCATTCTTGTCTTTTTATGTCTCCCAAAAAGAGGTTTTTAAGGGCATTTAATGGCGCATTGGAAGGGCGATCATCAGTCGTCTTGACGTGCAGAGGAAATTTCCTCTGAATATTGAAACAGTGGAATTTTTATAGTGAGTTGGGAAACAAAGGATAGGTCATCGACCAAAAATTCTCATTAAAGAATTTCTATTGTCTAAATATTCAAGCCTTTAAATCTCGTGCCAAAAGAGGTTCTTACAGGGTATTTGATGCTGCTTTCGAAAGATCATGATTTCTTGCCTGTTGTGTGCTAGTTTCAAAGCCACCCACCGATTAGAGGCCAAGAAAATCTACTCTCAATATAGAAACAATAGCATTTTGTAAATGAGCAAACAAACTAGGGTTAAGTTGTGGATCCCAAATGTTCACGAACGAACTCATTGCTCTCCTGTGGGCTTCAAAGCTTGGAAAACAGATCCGTTACTTTCTCCGCCAAAAAGGGTATATCTTTTCTTGGTCAATTCTATCGAAGCCATGAGCTTTGCTATTCCTCTAGATGCGCGGTCTAGCAAGGTAATTCACTCCTCGTGTCAATCGCTATGACGAAGGGCTAATGCTCGAAACGTCAGCTTTTTAACTCTTATTGGTGACCAATTTACACTAAATTACCTGTCATACTCTCCCACCGACGCAGCACCACAGTTTCTTGAGAAACTTACCCCCTTTATTCAAGTGTTAATAGAGACTAGCTTTGACCGAGCTAGTTCCCCTGTAGACTGGGCCAAATTTAATAAATTGGAACATTAAATGGCAGAGAGAAGTAGGTGAATTAGCGACGTTCGAGGAAATCTGAAACAGTCAAACCTTTACAAGTACTAGAGCCAAAACAATCCCCAGAAATCTCCCTTACGCATCTTTAACCCTACGCACTGTAACATTACAGAGTTCACATATGTTCATGCTTAGTCTCTACACATCTCCTATGGTCTTAACAAGAAAAATTGCTTTGAAATCACGATCTTTTTAAGTCTACAATCATTTCATTTTTCTTCATCTCATTCCCTTAATGTTTCATTCAATGATGTTACCGCAAGGATAAAACTAGCACCACCTAGGTCCAATCCTGTACGGAGGGCAAAGGGAGAACCACGCTACGCAGTCCGAGAATGAAGCGATATGTCCGGGAGCCAATCTTTCTCAAAGCGCTCAGTCAGCAATACGAAGCGCAAGAGTAAACGGCTCCATAGTAGCAGAGTGGGGGACAACGAGGGGGGGGGGGTGGTGGTGGTTAGATCTGGTCGTGTTATGAACACGTTCTCAACGCGAACTAACCGAAACTTTCCTCGTTTACACTTCGCAACCATTTCCGTGTTCCTCAGATATTCGCTCCGTTTCACAAACTGAGCGCTTGGGAACAGGCTACTATAAACCTTGCTACCTCACGGGGCAGATAGTGCAATCCAACGCATGTTAAAGAGACATATTTCGTTATGTCCCACCTTCGAAAGACCGGGGCCAGATAAATTACGAGTGGGAAGGAGCTCTCAAGGGGTATTTCTGAAGCTCTTCTAATTGTAATAAACACACTTATAACTCGTTGCATGACAAATATCAAATTACAGACATAAAAATTGTCACCTTTGAATGACAACTAACCTGGCCGTTTCGCGTTCATGGGAATTCAAGTAACTTGTTTTTTTTTTTTTTTAAAGAAACGGTGAGCGCATGCTCTGTCAGCCAATTCAGGAAGGGAATCTTTTGTCTCTAAAATCCTTCTAAAATTAAATGTCCATTTCTTTAATATCAACATGATCACAAACTGTATGAGCGTACTTAATCAGAAACATTAGTTATAGGGCATAGGTCATTTATACAGATATTTATCAGGGCATTCAAGAGTCAGAAGGCTTACGACGGCTCCTAAATATTTATAATATATATATATATATATATATGAATACTACTACAGTGGCTAAATTTGTTGGTTCTTCAAATTCGATCCTTTCAAATTATCGTGTATCAATCAAATCCTTTTTCTTGCGTTTTCATTAGTATCAATCATGGTTGTAGCTCAATTGAAAACCCCCCAAAACGTTTTTTTTCCAAAGAAAATTTTAAATTAACTAGTTACTAAATGTTTGTTGGGCGAAAATGAAGCGTGCATGATTCTTCAATTTCCTTAACCGCTAAGAGAAAAGCTAAGTCACTAGAACTCATTCCAGCAAAACGAATGTCACGCAGCCCAGGTAGCCTTGCGTGACGCCAACAAAGTGTCGCTCTTGATGCCGCATCGCGTTATGAAATGTTTAAATATATCTTAAAATGAATAAAAATGGACTAGCTAGGTTCTGGCACTAGTAAGCTAGAGTCTGTTTCACAAACTGCTACATTCTACCCAAGTACAGCTTAAATATGGGCAACTACAGGATCGTCGTCAGTATCTATGCGACTGCTCACCCACCCCTCCCGTAACCCAACATTAACCCTAAATTGCTATCAGTCAACTATAGCTGAGTTAGGGGAGGGGTAGGTGCGCAGGGTAGGTTCCCAGATACTCAAATACTGACAGTGATCTCAACTATATCCCTTACAAAAAAGCCAAGGCACTCCTGAGGCGGAATTGGCATAAATGCGATCCAAGCTAAGCGAGAAGCAGCCAAAGCTTCCTTTTCAAAGCGCAGTCATGAATTCTAAAGAGCTTCAGGCATTTCAAAGTTAAAACGACGAGTCTTTGTTTTCAAATTGCAGTTGAAGCCCCAAGAACCAAACCCGAGTCGGAATTAATAAGTCGCACCTATATTTGACTGCCACTTTGAAAGAAAGCAACGGTTACCTCGTGGTCTCATCTTGCACGAGCGGCAAAAAGTCACGCTCAATCAGAGTTCCTCGTGAACCAAAGTCATTGGAATTATTTTCATACCTTGTAGACCGGATTTGATCCGTCAAAGTGAATTTTAAAAAAAGACAGCGAAGTTGCAAAACTTCTAATTTAGTAGCGATTCTGGAAACTTCTTGTGTGTTAAATAATGGTTTAAGACGGCTTCTCCTTGAGAGAACACGTCCACGCAAAAAATATTAAGTCCAAAAGCAGCTGAGTAAATGATGATATGATAATGTCAATGGTAATACGAGCATTCGTATTTCTTGAGCGAATATTGGCGAATTTACACGCGTTTTTGTTCGGACGACAGAATTCTTCCTTATTTGAGATTCAACTTACGGGAGAAAAAGATACATCACTCAGATGAGCAGTGTCTTTCCTAAAGCCGAAGAGTACATTGTATAGATCTCAAGGAAAAAGTGCGTATTTTTTCCCCTTAAAATTCAAAGGTCGTGCGTGATTAACTTAGTTCCCATGGTCTCTCTTCCTTGCTTGGCGAGAGAACCTGAGAACGAAGTTGGTTGGCATTACTCCGTGAAACAAAATTTTTGCTTCTGTCCTTAACAGTCAAATGCTGTTGGTAACAATGTTTTTTTTTCAGGGAACGGAAATTCTTTCATAATCGTCCGATTCATCCCAAAATCTGCGCCAAATAGCTCAACTATCTGCAGTGAACATTATTTAAAAGCAATGCAAAGACGTTATTTTGTTGAATCCCTCCCGCTTGGGTGAAAAGTATACCTTAAGTGAAAAAACTCCGAGTTAAAAGAGGGTGGAAGCCGTTCAAAGCATCACTCACAAATAGCCGGGTAAAATTGTGATATTAGAGTTAAAGATGTCCCAAGATATATCCAAGTATCTTACACACAACGTAAGGAAAAAGAACTATACAAACATATTTCCCTTTCTATATAATATAACCTTATTTAAAGACAATCTATTCTAGGTTTAGTCTGAGTTAACAAGCGCCTATCTTTATTTCCTTCACGTTATCTCCTCTCAACATCCATTAAAAGTTCGATGTTACTTGATCATGATCTTAAGCTACACGTGCGTGCGCGCCAAAAGCAAATCAATCTGCACTTCAGCCAATCGGCAAAAACGGTTAGAAGTTAACTTTAACTACGTCATTAGAAATAAACTTTTTTTTCCGCCGAAAATTTCTACTCATTTGCGAGAAAGGAAAGGGCATGAAAACACAGACGGTTGTTAACTCAGGCTATTTATGGCCCCTTTTGCCTCAAGCCCTGAAGTTTCACGCATACTTCACCGCGTTGAACCGCAGAGCGCAAGAAAAACGGGTTGTTCGTACACGGGAGGTTTCTCCAACTATCAGATTCGTTCCTAACACTGGAGTCCATACCTCTGCTGAGGAAGAACTGCTGTTTGCTACAAATCCTTTGATTATGACGGACGAAATATACAAAGACAGTAATTGTCTGACCATTATTGCATGAAGTAGTCTCCCTGATGATCTGTTGTTCCGTCAGTCGTTTCAAATCTTCTGGCTTCCTCTTGCATGGTTTCTTTGATCTTTAATATCGCTACAGATTCGCAGTGATCCTGCAAAGAAATTACAATGTCCATTATCAACTGTTCGTCAAATAAAACGAGATCAGACTAGTTGTCTACATGCGTAGCATTTTGCAAAACTTGGGAAAGTTAAACACTTTGTATGCACGCATCTAAACTAAAAAAACAAAACAAAACAAAACAAAACAACAAAAAAAAAACTTCTTGCAATCTATCATTCTTTTGCTGAATTACTGTAACAAACGTGCGCAAACGTGATCAGCTGCACGAGCGAGCATAGCACGCAAGACTGCACCCGAAGAGTCTCCGATCTTTGAGAACCAATTTAAAAAAGACTTCAGCACGTAACGTCCGAGGTATTCTCACTTCTTAAAGAGTGAAACAAACAAACTCCACAGAA